CCCATTCCTCCCTTTTTTTGCTTTCATCCCAACTTGAAAAATACGGTTTAACATTGAAGGGATAAATGTGAAGTATGACAGTAGTAGTAATAACAATAGGAGTAAACAGTTATAGCAATAGAGCAGCAGCACTGAAGTGACCAAACCAAGTAATCTGAATACAATAAAGAAAGATTCTGACACCAGCTTAAAACATATAAAAGACAAGATATAAAAGAAAAGGGAAGTTGGCTGGGGAAAAAAGAGCTTAATGAATATGAAACCGAAACTAAGAAAAGATGAATCTGAAGGACATGTTTAAAAGTGGATCTGAAGGAAAGGTAGGAAGTGAACAATAGAGCAAGAAGCAGGGAGTTCTAGCATCATGGATTCAGCAATGGAAAAGGCAGAAACTAGAAAATGTCAGAACATAATATAAATGAGTAATAAACGCTGTTTGGGTTGCTTGGTGAGTTGGGTACCTGACTGCAGGGCTAGATGTTAGGAGTTCTGATTCCCACCCATGGGAGAAAAGCCACCCTGTGTTGCTTTGGGCAAGCTTTACAATCCCAGAGCATCCTCAGAAGAAGGGAATGGGAAACCTGAGTACGTTACCCTCAAGAAAACTTGGAAAGGGTTGCCATAATCCAAACCTGGGTAAAGTGTGGCCCTCCAGATGTTCCTGAACTGCAAATCCCAACATTCCTCACTGTGTGGGCTAGGCCCAACTCTCCTCACACTATTGGCTGTGTGGGTTCGGCCCAATTCTCCTTGCACTGTTGGCTGTGTGGGCTAGGCCCAAATCTCCTCACACTATTGGCTGTGTGGGTTCGGCCCAACTCTCCTTGCACTATTGGCTGTGTGGGCTAGGTCCAAATCTCCTCACACTATTGGCTGTGTGGGCTAGGCCCAAATCTCCTCACACTATTGGCTGAGTGGGTTCAGCCCTACTCTCCTCGCACTATTGGCTGTGTGGGCTAGGGCCAAATCTCCTCACACTATTGGCTATGTGGGCTAGGTCCAAATCTCCTCACACTATTGGCTATGTGGGCTAGGTCCAAATCTCCTCACACTATTGGCTGTGTGGGCTAGGAATTTTGGGAGTTGCAGTTCAGCAACATCTGGAGGGCCGCATTTTGCCCATCCCTGCTAATCAGAATCAACTTGGCAGCATCATGTTTTGGTGGGGTTGTTTTTGTTTTTGTCTTATATACCATCAAGTCATTCCTGAGTTAAAAGCAACCTTAACAGGGTTTCCAGTGGAAGTGAGATATTTAAGGACTGGCTTTATCAGTCCAGCATCTCCAGTAGTTTTCATGACAAAGTGGGTATTTGAACTCTGGGTTCTCTGATTATACCACCACACTGTGTGTGTTGTTTTTAAGATTACAGTATTGTCATTGTTATTGAATAAGTCGCTGACTGGAGGAATCTGGGATTCATAGTCCAAAAGGACAAAATTTCCAATCTGTTCCAGTGTTATGAACTTGAGCTGTGGAAGAGACAAGAGCAAGAGAGAAGTGAAAGAGAGCAAGGAGGAAGGGCTTCCATTTTTCTACTGCTGGGAAGGATACAATGATACAGCTTTTTTCCCCCAAGAAGTCCCATTGTATCCTGGGAAGGATACAAGTCATTGTATCCAGGACTGTAATCAGGTGTTTAGCTACTGTAGCATTTTTTGTTTGTTTTTGAAAGGTCACTAGGAAATTAGCTAGAAACTGCAATGATCTTGTTAGTAAGCAATCATCCTTATCAGTTACTTTTTAATTAGGAGGCAAGTAGGTGATAGCATCACAGAAGAACCAGGACTTGCTCATTTTAGAAATTCTAATGTTTGAGGCTGTTTGGAGGCTTGTCACTTGAGCCCCTTGGTAATTCCCATTAAGCACGTCTAAGAATGAAATTTGCTACTACCTATGAGCCTGATTACATGGGCATCCAGCTCACTATTTGAAGCATTGCAGGGACAGGCTGGTTTACTCTTAAAGATGGTGAACAGGCAACATCTTTGCTAGAGTTCCCCTGTCCATCCCCAAAGCATTCCTATCCTCACCTTTCTGGCCCCTGTCAAGGGGCTTTTATATTTTTCATGCAGGTAGGATTGCTCTGGCTTGGGTCAGTTCCAGCACATTAAATTGCTAAAATCAATCCAAAACAAACCTTCCAGCTTGAATTTGCCAATATTGTGAAGTGGCTTAATAAGCAAGCCACTTCCGGTTTGTATAATGGTAAATTAAACACTTCCCCTGCTCAGCAAAAGAAAGTGAAGTGGAAAGAAACATTGTAAAAATGTATATAAACAATTACTTAATGCACTGCATAAGTAATAAAAGAATTAAAAACATATTTTCTTGTTTTGTTTTAAAGGACTAGGCAAGAAACCACCCAGAGTTGAATCTGCAATGGTGGCTAGGGCTGCAGGCAACTGGCCTTTTAAGAGAACGCAAAGAAAATACTTTTTGAAAATAACTGTTGCAGTGCATCATTGATAGTCTATATAAAGTTTTTTTAAAAAAGTTTTTTCCTCCTGCCCTCTGCCAAGCAAGGGAAGTGATTGATTTACCAATATACTGAAGTGGTTTGCTTATTAACTCTCTTCACAATGTTAGTAGGAACTATCTCCATGTGAATGGTCGATCTTGGTTAGATCATTCTAATCAAGCCTGACTGTTCCTAAATGTCCCACACTAACTCACTTCCTGCTGGTAAAACAGCCACCCATGTTATTCCGACAAGAATTATAGGGATAGACCCCCCAAAAAATCAGAAAATTACCTTGAACTTTTGAGAACTCCAGAGTAACTCAGTAATGATTAAAGGGTGGGAGAGACAACTGGGTACTTATATATCACGTAACATACAAAGGGTTACCATCTAAATTCCCAGCAGCCAGCAGATATGGTGGTTGAGAACTAGTTTGCCCAACCCTACATTTCCATGTATAGATTCCACTTGCAAGGTGTTCCTGCTAGTGATTGGAAGCGGCAGTTTATGTCATGGTCCTCCACACCCTGCACCTTTGTGTCCCTTAGTATCTGCTCCAGAGGTCTGGATAAACTATGGATCAATGCAAAGGGGCATAACGAGCTACTGAAGAAAGGGAGAAGAAACATCCTTGCTTTTCTGCTAGCAGAAGGTTTGTCAGGTCGGAGCTCCTGCTGTGTATGGAAGGAGCCCTTCTGTGAACAGAATCCATACCAAAATGTTCATCACCCTATCTTTTCTCAAGAAAATGCTGAAGCAGAATCTGCACGGTACTCCATACTGGATGTCAATGAGCTAATGAAGAGAGTAGAAGAAAAAGAGTAAAACAGTTGTATTGTCCTTTTCAGCAAACTTTTCTTTGGCAAAATGTTCTATATGGGGGCTTAAATCAGTCAGTGCTTCTGAAATTTTAATGTTCATTATATTCTGATCCTAATTGTCTTATTTGTTGATGTTTGTAAAGGTTTTGCTGTGAATTAAATTAGTATATTTGACCTTGCAAATTTCCATGGTTAAGAGGTGGAAGTAAACATCTAAAATTACTAATGTATATACTTACATTATAATTATTCTCCACCTGAAGTATTTGCTTGATCTTGCATTTCTTCAGCATTTCTTTCAAGTTTCAATGACAGGTGACTGATAAATATTTTCTGTCTTTCTTTTAGGTCTCAGGGTGGAGAATTGGGATCTGAATCCAAATCTACATACTCAGGGTAAGAGCAGTTGTTTCTGTTACATTTTTGCGGTGCTGTAATCTTAGCAGTTATATTCCAGTGGATTGGTGTATTGATCACAGACTAAGAACAGGCAGGTTGTTTCTATCTGAACATCTGTTGAGGTAGTAGAAAAGGAGGTGGCATAATTTTGCAATTGCTTTGTTCAGAGAACAGAATAAATGACATATGGTTTTGTCTAGACCATTTCCGAAAACAGTGTTTGGTTCTTTTCTAGTTAATCTGTCTGTCATGCTTATTTCTTCTGGTCTGTTCACGGTGCCTGTGGGCCTGAAAAACATCACCTATGATGAACCAACATTTGACAAAGGTTGTGAAGTTGGTGTTGGAAGTTCATGTTGCATGTATGGTTTTGGAATTAGTCTAGTCATGTGGTTTTAGAATTAGTGTCATTTCAGAATAGATTTTTTAAAAATGACTAACACAGAGACAAAGTTTCATAAGCAAATTGCAGAGATTCTGTTGGCATAGATTTCAACTGTAGACATTAAAAGTCTAATCAAAAGTCTCTATTAACCATATTCAAAGCAATTTATACAACCAAATTTTCATGTCACCGCTCCCAGAATGAAGAAGGTTTCTTGTTCCAATGGGATCAAAACTACAGGCATGTGATTACTATAGACATTAGAATTACATACATTAGACATAGATCATTGCACTAAACACATGTTGGTCACAATATTGTGTAATTTTAAATGTGAAAGTGAGCCATACTATCAGTGGAGTTTACTCACTGTACCTAGGATTGTAAATTGACATTCAACAAAGTCACTGTTAAGGTTGGATTGACACCCTTAGCACAGTTTTCAAAGTGTTCTTCAGTGTTTGAGATTGTTCTTTAGGATTACAGGTAATAAACACAGGTGCTTGTTTACACAAAAAAGTTGCTCTAGTTAGCATTCCACTGAGATAAAGCTTATAAGGTAGCATCATTTGTATTATACAAATTAGCTGTCATGCATAGCACATTTGGGCAGACAACAAACCCCCCAAAGAACAACAAAGCCAAGCTCATGAGAGCCAACCTATCAGCTCTGTTTTGCAGTTTTGTAGACTGAGGGGGAGACAGCAGTACTGAGTATATTGATATTGATAGCGAGGTGCTGCCTAATGAGGTCACTGATGGGTTCAAAGCGCTTCCATGGGAGAATCAGATCCTGATGCTCAAGAAGGTAGAGGCACCAAAGCAGGAGTTACTGGCCCTAGCCAAACCCTCTCAGCCTAGGAGCACTTTTGAAGGCCTCTTACTCCCTCAGGAGTTGAGTATCCCCAACATTTCTAACCTCAGTGAGCCCTCTGTAAGGATGAACGCTTGCAAGGGTAGGATCCCCCCACAAAAGAAACGTACCCACGCAGAGCCGCCTCTGGAGCTGGTATTGCTCCCTGACATCTCATCCACTTACACCCCAGTGGGCCTCCTGTCATCAACCTCTCCACTGTCTATTGGTGCCCAGTTTGTTGGAGCAGCTCAAGGATTGCAGGATGACCAGTCAGGACATGGCAGCAGGGGCTCCAATAAATCCTCTCAGTCATCTGCCCCACCTCAACAGCATAACATCAAAGAGACTAGGCAGAGCAAGGAACCCCTGGCACCACTGCAAACATCCCACCCTACTTCAAAGTCAATCAATGTCAGCGTGGACATTCACGACTGCATGAAGCTCAGTGGCTGCCCCATGAACCCACCGGTACTGCTAGAACCCTTGGCTACCCCTGCCGTAGACAACTTATCCGGGGTGGACCTTCATGCAGACAGCCTGCGACTGAACCTGATGGTGTGTGCCCCACTGTTGTCTGCCAACTGACACATTGCCCACTTACATAGAGTCTGTCAATGGGAAGGCTTGAGTCATGCCTTAGATTATCTTGATCTTAGGTTTCTAGAGATCCTTCTTCTGCTAGCAGGAGACTTCAATGCTAGAGTAGGTCAGGGTGAGGCCATATTCGATCGTGTATTGGATATGTCTAGTGATGCCTCCCTGCTACATCATTATGTCCCAGAGAGGCAGTCCAAAGACCATCAAATCAAAAACGATCAAAACGATGCGGGGACACATTTGGCAAAACACTTGTCTACTTAGAGGCTTAATTTGGCTAAATGGCCTTACAGAGCTCGACGACGATGGTGTGTTCACGTACATTCCCGCCCCCCATGGATTCAGTACAATTGACTATATCCTGATCCCTGTTTCCCTAATACCATGTGTGGCCAAATTCCAGGTAGGTGAGCCCCTTGCTAGCGACCATCTCCCCTTATGTTGTAGTCTTGCTCTTGATACAGACTCTATAGTTTTGCCCAACACGGCACTTCATGAGTGCCCATTGATCCTGCCAAGAATTAAATGGAATCATAGAGCAAAGTATCTCTTCGGAAAGTGAAATACCTCACCATGCATGTCCACTGTAAAATGTAACACCATTTTAAATTATTTTAAAACATGAAACATTCATCAACAGCTTTGTCTCAACAATCATGAATTTATGTGTGAAGTTGCTAAGATGCTGGAGTGTAAAGGAGCCCTCTGTCTTCCATTATGGATATATTCCTCCATCTAACAGAAGTTCATTTGCAGCTTGGCATGGGAAGAGGAGATCTACTGAAGTCCGTGTCTGTTGAGGAAGCTTAGTATGAAAAAACACACACACACACACCATAGCCTAGCTACAGTGCCTCTGTACTCTATCACTCTGCTTCTGGATCAACAGTGTTCAGTTAAAGACAAAGCATGATGGAATGGTCCTGATGAGGAAGAGCACACTTCCCAATCCTGGAGTGTACGATGGGGTGGAAGAGTTTCCGGAGACTAACTTGAAGGCACATGGGGAAATTACACTACTTTGGCAATAAAGAGAAATGAGCTCATTAGCTCCTACCTGTTATATTGAATGTGGAATACTGACATAAATTATACGTCAAAAACTTAATTCTAAGGAAGGCAGTACCTTTATTAAAGCTAACAAAAATTCCACATGGATATGCATGCTTACAGGTTCTCCAGAATTCTTCTTTGGATTATGTCTTTCACAAAATATTGGGGCTAGTGCAAGGACCGATTTTATTTTCATGGACCAACATAGCTTATTTTTGCTGTTGTATTGATAGCACAGAAAATACGCAGAGTCCTTTGAAAAACAGGTATGTGGTTCTGCACAGTTTTGAGAGGAAACTATCAATACATATTGTTTGTTAAGGAACAGATTTAAACACCTACAAGGTGCTATTGTTTTCCAGAGTCACTAATGATTCCTAACTGATTTAAAATCACCAGTTGCCTTATCAAAATCGCATGGGATATAGGCCATCAAAAGGATGTAGATAATGGCCAGGAAATCTTGCTTTTTAAAGTCAGATGGACTTGGCATTCTGCCTTTTCATTATTCCAGTGTTCGGAGTTCTCTCTTTATAATAAAATGGTACATAGAATGACTGCATTAGGTTAATCCCTAGATTATAGGATAGAGCCAAAATGAAAAGGTTTCACAACTTTAATTTTATGTAGTCGCGGAAGGGGGAAAGATGTTTAAAAGGAGCAAGTCTAATTCAATTATATAAACTTTAAATGGAAGTACTTGATAATGTCAGAAAGATTAGCTTCTTCTGGTGCAGCATAAATGATGAGTCTATGAAGCAAAAGACAGTTCCAAAATTCAAATTCAAATGGGCACGAAGGAACTCTTTGTATAACCTGGCAGAAATGCAGGGAAGTCTTATGTGCACCATTACTTAAGCAGGTCTTGCTCATAAAATAAAAATAGAATATAGTTGGCATATTGCAGACAAAAAAAAGGAAGTGATAAAAACTACCAGACTTGGCAGTTGTAATATATGTGTCATTATCCATATATTTTCAAAGTAAGCAGGTGCATTAAAATTATGAAGGAACGTGAGGGTGGGATATCAAGTCTTCATTACCATCATCATCATGGGCATTCTGCCTTTTCTTCAGTGAATTCAAGGCAGTTTACTTGTCTGTATTCCTTCCTTCCTGCTTTACCTGTGCAATACTTCTGTGAAATATATTAGGCTCAGAAAGATCAACTCGCCCAATATCACCCAGTGGGTAAGAACTAGTATCTGGATCTCCCAGGTTCTCTTCTAGCAACCTTCCCACTATACCACACAATCTTTTTTGTGCTGCATACATCACATTGCGTATATTCATGTGATGATTCAGATGTGTTATTTAGACCTCCTCCTGTGCATGGCTGGTCAGAAGTGAGTCCAGGTGAATCTGTTCAGACCAATTAATGTCACAGAAAGTACACCCTTACATTAGTACAATCCCTCTGACGTTTGTTGTCCATCTTCAATAAAATGGATCTGTGACGATGTATCACTGTGTCTCAGCAATTTAAATCAAGAATTCTCATGGAGCTTTTTGAGATGATCATAGACATCTAGTCTGCTGCTTGGTTGTATCGGACTGGATTTGGTTGTGTATGCAATGCTGGTAGCGGGGGAGGAGTTGGGAATGTGTTCAGGTGCCTGTCATAATGCCATTTGTGGTCCCACACTATGCATGTGTGGCATAGAAATAAAGTGAAATTTATTTACTTACCTCCCCAGACCCTTTGCCACACTGGGCTCCTCAATGGGTACATATAGATGTTCAGGACAACTGTGACATTCTAACTGATGAAGGAAGGAAATGTCACAATGTATATGTGAGAGAAACCAGATTGAGGGGCTTATATAAAAATAAAGAGGGGAGTTATGTACTGTAGGCCTAAAAAGTGCAAAACAGTAATGTGGGTTTCCGGTAGTGCTGAAATGACTGATGTTTTGTGGGGGAAAACAACAATGTTGATAGATATTGTGATGTCAGTCAAAACATTTGACAAAAAATTGTGAAATTGTGTGGTTAAAAATCAGGAAAAGGCTTGTGTGGTCCCCAAAACAATACAAATGCACAAACAGGTGGTATTTTAATAGACCACAAAAATATATATAACAAAATAAAAAACAGTGAGCTTCCAATGAT